AAAATCAAAAACAACAAGGCTTTGTAGTGAAAACTGAGGATAAAACCAAAAGGTTCGGTTGTATTTCATACATTTAAAACAGCAAAAAGGTGAATAATTATCAATATCGACTGACATAAAACCTTATGTTGTATTTTTCAGCCATATTGTCGAGCCCTGTTGAATTAACTCACGCACTCCCAAACGGCACGGAAAAGGGTGAAACACACGTCCAGCACACAGGGACACAACAGGCATGACTCCTTAAAAGCACAGTGTTCCTGGTGAAAAACCCTCTAATGAGGATAATTTAAAGCAATTTTCCAAAGAAGAGTTGGGTCAGCATTCCTCCACAGTGATGTGAAAGGCTCATTACGAGTTATCGCAATGGAGGAACAACCAGTTATTCAGGGAACAATTACTCCTTCCTCATAGAGCCAAGCTGAACTGAAGCTGGTGGAGAGGCTGCACTCAAACTGAGATCAACTCTTTAAAAGGTTGAATGTTTGGAGAAATACAAAGAATGACTCGAGACTTTTGCACATTACTGAGTATAGAAAACTCAATAAATCACTGCCGACTCATCATCTTTACATTTGTTGAAGTAAAAGCTCGTTTTTCCTGCCTAAACTTCTCCCACTTAATGACGTTTTGCGCCACATTGCAGCTTCTACATTTAAAAACACGCATGTTACGTTTGCGGCCACTAGAGGCCGCTGTGCGACCACAAACTGTCAGCAGCAGCAGTGAAATAAGAAGCAAACCACTGAGTTATTGTTCTGTTTACATGCTCCTCCTGCAAAAGATGAACCACTTTCTACTGCTGATGATTGTGAGAGGACTGTTGCTACATGTTTTATATTTTGACCTGATGATTTGTGATTTTTGGTGACAGTTTGTCCAAAACCACCGACATCATCGCCTTTCTGACAGATGAGGAAGTTACGTGAAGCGAGAAGTTCAGTCTGGTTCTGAGTTTTCATGGTTTTTATTTAGAAGTGAGCTGACCTTCTAGAGGAGAATGTCCAATTTAAGTGATTTTTTTTTCAAAACCGAATTCTAAGAAAAATTAAAAATTATCTGATTAAAGACAGAATTTCATTAAAGAAAAATAGAATTTAGAAATTAAAGTCAGAATTCTGAGAGAAAAATCTAGATAGTAAGAAAGTTGTTAAATTCTAAGAAAAAAATCTCTGTGAGATTAAAGGCAGAATACTGAGGAGAAAAAAATATGAATAGTAAGAAAAACGTATACATTTTCTGATAAGTCAAAATCCAAGAAAAAATAAATAGCTTCTGAGATTAAGTCAAAATTCTGAGAAAAAAAAATTAAGAAATTCCGAGTTTTATGCAGAATTCTGAGAGGGAAAAAATTGCATCACAAATTTATATATATATATATATATATATATATATATATATATATATATATATATATATATATAGACCTCCAACGAATAAGGCAAGTCCTGAGAAGCCAGCTCAATGGCAAGAACAAAATCAGTGCGATAAACAGCTATGCCCTGCCAGTAATCAGATACCCTGCTGGAATAATTAGCTGGCCAAAGGAGGAGATAAAAGCCACAGATATTAAGACCAGAAAACTACTAACAATGCATGGAGGGTTCCATCCCAAATCCAGCACCCTGAGACTGTACACGAGCCGCAAGGAAGGAGGCAGAGGACTATTGAGTGTGAGAACCACTGTCCAGGACGAAACAACTAAGATCCATAAATACATCAGGGACAAAGCCTCAACAGACAATGTGCTCAGTGAATGTCTCAGACAACAGGGAACGGAGGTTGAGGTGCCACCAGCAAATAACCCAAGTGGCTGATATCAGTAAATCCTACCAATGGCTGGAAAAAGCTGGACTCAAGGACAGCACAGAGGCCCTCATCCTGGCCGCCCAGGAACAGGCCCTAAACACCAGAGCAATAGAGGCCCAGATCTACCACACCAGACAAGACCCAAGGTGTAGGTTGTGCAAGGAGGCCCCTGAGACAGTCCAGCACATCACAGCAGGGTGCAAGATACTGGCAGGGAAAGCGTACATGGAGCGACATAACCAAGTCAGGCATAGTGTACAGAAACATCTGTGCAGAATATGGACTGGAAACCCCGAGATCAAAGTGTGAAACACCCCCAAAGGTGGTGGAGAACGCCAGAGCTAAGATCCTGTGGGACTTCCAGATCCAGACAGACAAAATGGTAATGGCGAACCAACCAGACATTGTCGTAGTGGATAAACATCAGAGGAAAGCCGTTGTGGTTGATGTAGCAATACCAAGTGATTGCAACATCAGGAAAAAGGAGCACGAGAAACTAGAGAAATACCAGGGCCTCAGGGAAGAACTGGAGAGGGCCTGGAAGGTGAAGACCACAGTGGTGCCTGTGGTCATCGGGGCCCTCGGGGCAGTAACCCCCAAACTGGAGCAGTGGCTACAACAGATCCCAGGAACAACATCAACATCTCAGTCCAGAAATGTGCAGTCCTTGGCACAGCCAAGATACTGCGCAGAACCCTCAAGCTCCCAGGCCTCTGGTAGAGGACCCGAGCTCAGAGGATAAGAACCACCCGCGGTGGGTGAGATGGGAATTTTTTTATTTTATATATATATATTCTGTGAAGAAATCTGGAAAACAATGTAAATTTAATGCAGAATTCTGAGGGAAAATAAATTATTCTGCTTGGAGTCAGAATTATGTCTCTTTTTCTTCTTTTTTCGTCTGAATCTCATCTGAGTCTATACAGATTTTTTACTTTAATTAACTTTATCAAACCCAGTGAAGCTGTTGCTGTCAGTCGGGTTTTGCTGCTTCATGTTTAGTAAAACCAGACCGACATGGATGCAGGTCGCTGCTGTTTTGTGTTCTCGTCATATAAACTTGTCTCCAGATGCTGATCAATCGGACTGATTGATCAGCTCGGCTGCTGAAGAACTCGGCATGTAAAATGAAACATCTGGCTGCTCAGGCAGAGCCACACTTTGCACTTTGAACTCATCTTCCTGAAACACATTCCAAGACTCCAGTGTTTATAATCACATCACAGAGCTGCAATTAAATCATTTCAACATTTTTTAATTATTAATTTTGTTTGTATTTATTATGTCTACAGTCAGGCTGAGATAATTATTGCTAACAAATGCACAGAAGATTTTTCTTTTTTAGGAAATGATGACAAGGATGTTTTTCTGCATATAAAAGAAAAAACATGAAACTATTTATTCTGGAAACCTTTTTCTTTCCAGAATAAAAGGTTTGGAAAGTGGAAATTTTGCAAATTAATAACCGTAAGTATTAAACTGTGTTTGAATTATAGATAATGAGATTTTTGTTGTTTCTGCTCTGCAGATGATCACAGATACTTGTTTTGTACAGCTGCCAAATGTCAGTTTTATTTTTATCCAAGTGTTTTAAGTGACTAGATATGAAAAAATAGGGAGCAAATTTCTGCCAAAACACTCAGAAATTTTTAGATTAATCTCAGATTAAAAAGTGGGGAAAGAATTGCAAGAAAAATATCCAAAATTTAGATTTTTCCACAAAACAAAATTTCCAGAAAATTTCCTGGAACTAACTTAGAAATTTTATTGAAAAAAACTGGAAATGTATTGATTTGAAAAATTTAAAAATTGTTAGAAAACTCAAAAACCTTTAGATTAAAGTTAGAATGCTTCCTATATTTTTTGAAATAAAAAAAGGAAATTTTTTTTTTGTTGAAATTTTTGAGATGCATCTAAAAAATTTTTACTTCTCAAACAGAAATTTCCAATCTTGTTCTATAATTTTTTAAGCAAAATTTCAAAATGTCTGTTTTGTTGTTTTTTGTTCAAACTTTTTATTTCTGGAGCTAAGAAATATTCTTGTTTTATAAAGGATATTTAAGTTTTTATTTTCAGAAATGAACTCTTTTTCTAACCTTGGGGGCCCATGACATGCAGTCAGAAAATGCCGCTAGCGCCCCCTGCAGTCAGAGAATATGAAGGGTGACAGTTTGGTGCTGCACTGGAGCTGCTCTGACAGAAGAAAACAGAAAAGTAACAATGTCTTAAGATCCTCCAAACTTCAGATTTTTATTTTTTATTTCACGCGACAGTTTATCCATAAAGGAGAAAGAGAGAATTCATTTTTGATAAAAAATCATCCCAGACGTCCGATTTCCTAACAATAGTTAAAACAAGGTCAGTTTCCAGGATAAATGCTGCGTTTTAAATTATGCACAGCTCAAAATCACCTAGAGCAGCATCAGCCTCCGTTGACTCACCGCCTGCCTGTTGTGCAACAGCAGACGATTCATCCTCATTTCATAAATATATCAGTATTTTGTAGAGATATCTCTGAATGCAGACAAAAAGGTTTCACTTTTACTGAGTGATAATTTATCATTACAGAAAATAAATAAATGTAGATGAAGTATTTTTAACATTTGAATTGTATAATGGAAAATATTCTGCTAACTTCCACATGTTTACATTTGCACTGTTATCAATAATTGCTTTATATTTTATTCACATTATTATTTATATATATTTTAAGGTTATTTTACATTTCATACTTTTTTTTAAACTGTTCTTGGAGACAGAAACATCAGGTTTTCATTGCTGTGAAAATGACAATCATTGAAGAGTTTGTCCAGTTTCTCCTTTAATTTGCGTCAGAGTTTTGCTTTGTTTGTTTTTGTTGTTAAAGTCTTTAATCTGCAGTAAACTCCAGAATATCAAAACATTCAATATCCTAATTTTATAAGAAATGGTTGGTGATTCAACTGAACTAAAATATTAAAGTGAATCAGTATCTGAACTAAAACAAACCATCTTCCTGGTGAGTATCAAACTCACTAAAATCCACTTTCATTGGATGTGAAACTGAAAATTTACATCTCAGATTAATATTAAATCCAGCTTTTGGATTTATTCTCCATTCAGTCACTTTTAAATTTTCAATGCATTTGAAAACCTGGAAGAAAAACAAAACAAAACAAAAAAACGAGCTCAAATATCACATTATTCCACAGTGAAGTTACCATATTTTATTTCTTTAAGTGCCATTCATGCATATTGGGGAAAGGGGAGGATGGGTCGGGGAGGGCGGTCGGGCGTTGGTATCGACAATTTTCTAATAACACTTGAGTTATTTTACAGCACTAAACGAATACAAAGAGTAGCTGTGTCACCTCATCGGACAACAAAAGTAATAAACCGTGCAGTAAACAAACAAACGAACGAACGAACAGGGAGACGGAAACGAAAGAGAAAGAAATGACAAAAGACGAAATAAAAACAAAAACTACAAAATAAAAACACAAACCAAATAGATACTTTCAACACTGAAAACACTGAATGTAGAACCATAGGTACAGGTAAAAGGTAGTGTCACACACAAAGCCAACGCATTTTCATCACATATATACAATATAGATATATACATACTGTCACCCTCTGATAGGACAATAACAAAATATTCTTTTCCCGCCTCTCTCTTATGAATCCCCCCCAGGAGAAAAAAGGGATGATTGAAAAGACACATTATGTACAAGCACAACACACCAGCACTGAATAAAACAGGCCCCAATCAGCAGTAGATGTTGGCAGTTCTCTCCAATGATGTAACAAGGTTTATTTATTTTTTTATTGTTTTTTTTTCTCCCCAATAATAATAATAACAATAATAATAATAATAATAATCTCTCTGGCAGGTACATGTCCAGCTGTATTAAAAAACAAAACAGGAAGAAGAAAAGTAAAAACTTCCACAAGAACGCACACAAACGGACAAAATGTAAAAACTGGGATCCAGTCGTTTCTTCACCTTTTCCCTTTTTTTTTGTTTTTTTTTCTTTCCCCTTTCATCCAATCGTCTCCCGTCGGCGGATGAGTTCGTGCAAAAGTCAGTTTCCTCAGTCTTCGCCTGGAAGAGCTGAAAGGCGTCGCCGTGACCCCGTGCCGACCTCCCAGAAGATTCACGACTCGGTTCCGAGAAATTAGTTTGATAGAAACGCAAAACATGAGCGAGAGAGGAGCGGAGGCGAACACACGAGACCGACAGGAGGTTAAAAAAAGAAAGAAAGAAGAGAATACGTTAAGAAATGGCAGTTTTATAAGCTTAAATTAGAGAACTTTGATTTTCTTCTGCACAGTGCAGCTTCTGGGTGTTCAAGATCTACGATCCACAGTATAAACCAGGCAAAAACAATCTACAGAGTTTGGTTCTGTAAAGTACAACTGAACTACAAAAATAAAATAAAATGTTTCAATCTCAAAGTGCCTCATTTTCACAACATTTTGTGATATTTTAAAAATAATGAGAAAAAAAAATCAATGATTGTCGTTTTAATGTGAAGTCAAACAGCACAGCAACACCAGGAGACAAAAACCCGTTAAATAACATAAACTAGTTCAGGTTAACGAGATCTGATGTCAGGTTAGAATAAAGACTGGAAACAAGCCCAGGGTAACAAGATTGAGCTCCAGACATTTTAATGGATACAAACAGATTTAGTGATAAATTAATTTACTGAGAGGAAACCAGGAGACGCACCGATCGACTTTATGAAAATATTAAATATTCACTTTGTATTTTGTAGGTTAATTTTAATCGTAAACAATTTTATGCATAAATCAGGGTTTGAACATTTTACCAAACTAAAAATGTACTTTTCAAATGTTTTAACATTTTTCTGGAGATAAAATGCAAACAAACGAAAAACGTTTAAATCCTCTGCTATGTGACCCAATTTATTACTGTTGTTGATGAAGTCTTGTGATAGTATTTGATATTCTACAACTAAAATATTGTTAAAAATGTTCAAATAAATGATTAAATTTTAACTGATCTAAAAATAAGAAAAGTTGGATCTGATTTAAGTCCAGGTTTAAGTATCTGATTTCAGCTGTAAATAATGTTTCCAAATTTAGGTTTTCAGCTAAACATTAGATTGGACTTTATTACAAAACTACGCAGTTTGAATATCAAGAACTTTTAAGGATATTTAGATACAAATCAAACGAAAATCTGTGAAAATATGTTGTTTCATTATTATTATTATTTTTTTTTTTGACATCATACTGATTAAAAATGGTCTCAAAACAAAATTTATCGTCCAGTAAAATTTGAAGAACTAGAGCTCTATGTGCTCTAGTTCTTTAACATCATTAAGTCAAAAGTCTTCTCAGTGCATCTTCACAACAACTGAATAAAAATAATAATCACTGCAGGTTGAGGTTGGGGAAAACGTTCCTATGTGCCATTTATTCAAATCTGATATGAAAATAATCCCCTTCACTTTATAAAATTTTATTTATCACCAAACATGAACCAGGTTTGTTTTATTTATTTATTTATTCTCTGTAATTTAAACAGAGAATAAACCTAATCAGATTAAGTCTTGCAGGTTTATTTAGGGGCGCACCGATTGCAGTTTTTAGGCCGATCGTAGATTACCGATCTTTAAAAAGCCTGAACTGCTGATTCCAATTCTGGCCGATGCCGATTTATTTTGTCTGAAATGTTGCTGGACAGAGGAAGAAATTGAAAGAGCTGGTAAAGTGCAGCGAAATCGGCTCAGATAAATTGGTGCACCTCTAATCTGGACATCAGTTTTCAGTCTTTATGCTAATCTCGGCTGTCCGGTTTGTTAATCTCTCAACTCCCAGCCTGAATAGAATCCCAGAAACATTGTGCTACTCCTTCGAGAACAGAGACACAGTGTTGCAGCTGCAGAGCACCAGAACGGTAAAACCCGACGCAGCCCAGGAAAGCGGCCAATCAGAGCGGCCGCTGCGGGATAAAACGGGATCGGCTTTGCATCTGGAAGCCAAGTAAACAAAAGGTACTCATGTGCAAAGGGCTCATCTTCCTCTAACCATAGTGTCTCTTCAGGCCAGCAGCGGTCTGAGCGGGGAGCCGGTTCTGGAGAACCTTCGGGTCGCTCCACTGCTCTGTGCTTAAGAAAACCTCCTGGGTCTGCCTGCGCGAGCCGCCTGCGCCTCCGTCATCGTGTGCTTCATGCTCACACAGAGCAGAGGTGAGTGCAGCCAACAATCAGAGCCCTAAAATTTAAACAATTTAAAAAGAAACAACAACAACAACAAACTCCCATAAACGCCTCATCTGCTCCACCGACATCAGACTGCAGGTAGCACCAAAAGGTCTCCAATGTTCACAAACAGGTACTTTGTTATTGATCAATAGGGCTGAAACTAACTATTATTTCAGTAATCAATTGTTCTATTGAATACATCAAAAAAAAAAAAAATCATGCAATTCCTTTTTAAATTAGAAAATAAAATGTTTTATTGCTTAAAAAGCAATAATAGCATCATAACTGAATTGTTTGCATCAACATCTGAAGTTCAATATTTTTAATATTTAATCATATTAAAATATTAATATTGTGAAAAACTCAGCCCTGACTATTATCAACGTCTGCTGATTATTTTTGGATTAACCGATTAATAATTGGTGATTAATCTGAGTTTTTACATGATTTGAACCAGATTAAGCTAATTCTATATTTATAAAATATATTTATAAAAAAAAAAAGAATAAGTTTTGTATCTTAAATGCAAAATGTGTCTATTTTTAAATCAGTTTTGGCTTAATTACTGCTTTGTTTGCTGTGTACTCCAGTTAATGATCAATCGATTACTAAATCAGTTAATTATTTCAAGAATTGAGTCATGATTAATCAGATTAAGCCCTATTGATCATTAAATAAACTTTCACTAAAGTTTTTTTCTCCTGAATGAAACGTTAATTATTTTTCTCTCTTTATGTTTTCTTGCAGATGTTGGTCTATTTATTAATTAAAATATTTATTATTTGGGATCTGAGGTGCAGATTCAAACGTTTCTGTGGTTGAATAACTGAGATACTAATGGAGGTTCAGACTAATCTTTTTTAATATATTTGTTTTAAATTTCTTAATCTGTGACCTGAGTCCAAATTTTGTACCACAAACAAGCAGAAGTGGTAAAAAAAAATCCTTGAATCTTCATCCAAATAAAACTTAATTCAGATATCTTGTGATTCTTACAGATTATCTCATTGTTTTTGAGTGGCGGCATCTGATTTAGTGAACAATAGAGACTAAAACAGTTTGAGTTTGTTGAGTTTCTAAAGGTGCTACAGTTTCTGTTACGAATCTAAACAACTCTAAACGTCACAAGACGCAGAATCAATTCAAAGATCTGTTTTCACACTCCTGATTTTATCTTCTCAATATCAAAATTCATTCATTTAAGAGCAAAACGATGAGAGTCTCTGTTCTGCCGTGACACACAGAGAGCCGATCTCAGCACCCTGTGGGATCCCTCTCCGGCTCAACTCCTGGTTTAAAATAACATAAAACAAAATCAAACCAGTGGGGATAAAAACAAATCAAACAAAAACGCACCCTGTTCAGATTTTAAACATTTGTAAACCTGTTTTCCCCAGAAGCGACCAACGAGCACCATCACGTTACTCACAGAGACAGACGGCCTGTGTTTTCTTACAAAAATTAAAATCAAGAGACAAAAAATAAGCAGAGGGGAGAGAAAGTGGCGAGAGAGAACTTCATCTTAGAGGCAGCTGAGGCCTATGTCGACACGAGAAGAATTACAAGCTGAACACGTCGCTCAAATCACATGACAGTTAAGGAGCAGAGGGGTCAGGGGTCAGGTGGGGGTGGGGCAGGGGGTGTGGCAGGAAGAGGATGGTCTGGGTAAGAGGAGGGGGCCGACTGAGGAGGTTCACTGTCAATGAGCTCCACTCGTCTCCAGACGAGAACAGGTTTTATAACATGATTGTCTTCAAAGTAACAACATTTTCTGGTTATGGTTCGCCGTGCGGACAATTGTCAGGACTCTGAAGTCTGTGGGGTTTTTCGCCGTGTCAAACGTTCCTCTGCATCACACAACCTGCGGCCTCGTCGGCTCAGCCTGGCCTCCTCCGGGTTTCGCCCCCCCCCCTCCTCCGTCGGCTTGGACTTGCTTTAACGCGGAAGTGGAGCGGCTAGACGATGGAGTCCCAGTCGAAATCGTCCTGGATGTCGTCGGCTTGCATGCGATGCATCTGGAAGGTCCTGGAAGGTATCATGTGCTGCTGGTTCATCTGTGCATGGTGTCCTGAGGGAAACAAGCGTCAAACATGGCAGATTGTTGTTGTTTCACTTTAAGAAGACAAAGTTTTAGAGTTGTTTTGAGGTTCTCCAGGGTTTTGATATTTTCTTCAGACTATTTGCCTGTTTTTCACTCATTTACAGAGAAATTATAAGAGGACGTCACTCTAATGCGCATGTCGCCTCCAGAAAAGGCAAGAACACATTATTAAACTATTTACAATTAGGCTAATTAAATAATTTACAACTAGCAACCAGTGCAGTTGTCTCTATCTGGTGAAATCCCGGTATGCAGCCTTGCGGCGTCTGCAGTTGTCAAAGGTTTCATTTTTATGGTCTCTGTTTCTCACATCCGGTTCAATCTGCTGCAGCTTTAATTTCTGAAGGCTGAGTTTATCTTGATGGATGCAGCTCCATCTTCATTTCTCTCTAATTGTGGCCAAACTAGGAAGAAATTATTTTATTTGTCCTCTGCATTCAAAATATCCGTTCTTTCTTTTTTTTTTTTAATAAAAATGTAAATTTCTAATTTGTTTTCCTATTTGTTGGTTGTTGCAACAAACCACTGTAATACGCCAACGACATGCCAGCTCATGACAAAACGGCAAGATAAATGCAGGTAACCATGGAACCCAGAGAGAATGAAACGGCTTTCTGCAGTCGAGTTGCGCGCGCATCCGCTGCGTTTACAAACAAATGATTCTTCTATGAACACATTGACAGAAGAGATGGGAACCGAGAACCGGTTCTCAGTAGTTCAGTTCCTGGGAATCTGTTCAACTCATCGGTTAACGTGCGACGCATTCGCGTGACGACGACGACGTGTCGCACGTTGACCGCATTTCACTTCAGAAAATGTCCAACATGGCGTCACAGCAGAAGCAGCATGCTCAGATCTTTAACGTTGAACTACTTATTGCACGAATGTCATAAATAATCTTCATCTCATTAACATTTGCAGCCATATTAAATAAATTTGAATATGTCTCATTTATCATTTTAAAAGCATAAAAACTGTTGATCTTAAAAATGTTTATTCGACAGAGGGATTATTTTTGCTCAAGTCAGTTTTAATTTAGTTTGAATCAAATATAACATGGTGCAAATCTTGAATTAAAGAGTCTATTTTCTAACTCAACAAGAATCGATGAGGAATAAAATCTACAGCCTGATTAACTGGCTCAGCCTCAGAGTGGAGATTCAGCTCTCAGTTTTATCAGTAAAACATTTTGTGTGTCTCTAGATCTTTTTGAAATTCTGAGCTGTTCTGGTTTGTGAAAAACCCAAAGTCCAAACGCCTCACTGAGATCTGACACAGTTAAAAAGTGAAAAAGGTTAATGAAGAGGGAATGATTTCTCAGCAGGGTATTTTATTTACGGGCCGATGTCGCTACCTGTCATTGTGGGTCCCGTGTTGCTCATAGGGGGCATGTGGGGGTATCCGGGGGGACCCATCATGGGGGGCATACTCTGTCTTGTGTCCATGTAGAGGTTTCCTGATGAGCAAATCAAACACAATCAGAAGCATTCTCTGATACTCAGCAATACTGAATCCGTAACGTCGTATTTTAACAAAAAAACAAAACAATGTCAACATAAAACAGTATGTATAGTTCACTTTAGGCTCTGTCTTTTCATTCTAACATTTTTGGTGGTACTAATGTGGTGTTTCTTTTTCTTTGAAACGTAGAACCAGATCAGTGATTCTGCATTTAGTCTCTTTCTTCTTGCTACCAATATAAATGTGACCCATTTGTCCTGTAAAGTTCCTTGCGATGACGTTCGTGATTATTTCACGCTATTAATTAATCTACACAGACACTCCAAATAAATCACTTTTTACAACATAAACGACTTCAACCTCCTGTACAGACCTGTGTTGAGGTGCTGGCCGGGTTTGTTGGTGTGCATGGCGCCGTGACACACAGGACTTTGTACCGCCCCCTGCTGCTGAATGACGCCGGTGCGAGCAAAGAACTGGTTGATGGACGAGCAGAGGTCGGCGATCTGGGTGGGTTCAAGGCACCAATTGTTCAGCTCAGCCTGTCTCATGCTTTCTCTTAAACCTTTGGAGACAAATGCAACATTTTGCGAGGTTAATAAAAACTGTAACAGTTGGGTTTCCAAAGAATGTAAATGCATATATTCATCATATCAGCAACCTTCAGTGGGTGATATTTGAAAAACATCCTACCTTGCATTCTTTGACTCTTAATTGGATAAACTGACCTGCTGAGCTGGGTGTTTTGGTAATTAAACTTGAAGGCGGTGTTATTTAATTGAAGAGCTCAGTTTAATTAAAGTTGTAATCAACTCTAGAGTGCCGACACATCAGCACTCAATCAAAGGCTGGAGCAGAGCTGTACATCCAGCCTCTGCTTTTAACATCAGAGGAAATTAACCTGGAGTCCAGATCACTCTCAGGTGAGTCTCACTGTGTGGATTCATCACCGATTTATTTCAAATGTTTGTTTTGACTTGAAGCAAACAAAACATTTTAACATTGCTTTTTTGGGGACAATTATTCCCCTTAATCTCATTTTTGAACAGTTGTTATGCCATGACAATAAGATGATTTCTGTTACTTTTTTAAACAATTCGGAGCAACTGATTAGCATTTCAAAGCTCAAATGAGCTCAACCCCATCGCTCTGTTTTCCAACCATAGAGCCAGACAGATTTACAGAGGGACAGCAAAAGCAAATGAGGTGGGTTAGCAGTCTTTGCCTAGAGCTGGTGATAATTCTGTCACTGGATGTTGAGGTGTTAATATTCTGTGTCATCATGAGAACGACAGCAACTGTCTTCAGTCAGAGGTATCGTCAGGAATGTTCACGACTGACTGCTTCTGGAGAATGAAAATACTTCGATGATATGAGAGAATGAAAAGGTCTTGATCAAGTAATGGGTGCTTTTTCAGAAAGCTGACATTTCTGTATTAAAATAACTTGTTTTTTATTTTCCTCCTGTAATTTTCTGATTAGGTGAATTTTGGGTTTTCATTAGTTGTGAAAAACAAAATAACCCATTAAAACTATTGAGGAGTTACAAACTATAACAAATTTCACTTTTTAAATCAAATTAGTTGGACATTGAGTAAATCTTTATCCTAATCATTTTCAAATTAATAAAATTAAAAACAAAAACAATTTTTATACTATTCAGATTTTTTAAACTGGATGACAAAAGTCTTCAGTCTGGTGTTTTGATCTAAACTACAATTTATGATTCATTGTTTTGTTGTTTCTCTTGTTTTGTTTATTTATTTTGACTATTTAAAATATTTTCCATTTCCAAAGTTTATTAATTTGACAATGTGCTCTTGCTTTACTATAGCATTATCATTATATTACTTCAAAACTGTCTCAAAACAACAACATAATTGATTATCCCAACAATTTATGGGACAATTTATCGCCCAGCAAAATTTGCTATAGTGACAGTCCTATTATGAATAATAACATCCTGAGTGCGGGGTGAAATATAAACTAATGGTGCAGGGTTTATTAGTGCAACGGACCTTGGAAAGGAGAAAGGTCGACATCAGCCCAGTTATAGCTGCTGGCAATACGACAGCTTTCTTTCAGAGCATCCAGATTCGGGTACCACTCGGACCGTAAACCTGCAACAAAAACACCCAAAACATCAAATCTGTAACTCTGAGAAGAGCATAAAATTAAGAAGTCATAAAATCTAATTCAATTCTGGAGAAATTACTGGTTTGCTGGCAACAAGGTGCTGAATAACAACTGTTTTATTATTTTATTTTAACAGACTGTATGGTCACATTATGCATTTTCACTGCAGTCACGTTTTTGCTTTTGTGCTTGCAGTAATCTGGAGCCAAACGAAAGAGGAGACATCGACTTATCTGACGGTCGAACAGTTCTTGGAAGTGGCCACTAGGAGGAGCCAGTGTCTCTATAAATCCTGCTGAAGTCTGGGCTTCAGCATGGCTTTGTTCTCCACACCAAGGGTAATAAATTAAAAGATAATTTACTGTTTAAGAAATTAAATTGTTTTCTTTGAGCTCTCTGGCGAAACAGGGAGGATCACCTCCAAACACCATCATGATTGCTCCTGAGCGCCTTCATCCATCCATGTGATGAATTCAGACAAAGGGAAAACAAAAGCAGACGCCGGTCCAGCAGAACCGTTGGGTCTCACCTGTGTTGCAGGTCATCTGTTGCGGGTGGGAGAGGCTCTGGTGCTGCTGTCCGTGTTGGGAGGGGTGCTGGTTGTGCTGCGTGTGCTGCGCCGGGTGCTGCGTGTGCTGCTGCTGCTGCGGGTGCTGGCCGTGGGTCGGGTGCTGACCGTGCTGGGAGTGCGCGGCGTGCTGCGGGTGCTGGCCGTGTTGGTGGTGCTGCGAGAGGTGCTGGGCGTGGGGCGATCCGTGGCCAGGGTGGGAAAGGGGAACCTGGCCGCTGTTGGCAGGGTGGTTGTTGTGGTGGTTGTTGGGCTGGTTGTTTGACAGGCTGTTCTGAGTGTTGATGGTGCCACTGGGGGAGTGCTGATAGGAGCAGGAGGTGTGGGTCTGCTGGGAGTTATCCGACGGCATGCCCATCAGACCTGAAACACACACACACACACACACCGAGCTCTGAGAACATGCAAACTATCAGAGATTCAGGCAACGTTACCACCACAAACCTCAATGTACTTCACTGGAACTTAAAACAACAGACCAATATAAAGTAGAGAATCAAGTGAAAGTTGATTCTCTAAAATAAATCAAAAAATCATCCTAGGGATTTTGTTTTAGTGCTGGGTGATATTGCTGAAAAACAAACTAAACTCTTTGGACCTTCCACAATGGCTCCTAATAACTTTGGCTGAAGATTATAAATAAAATCAACTGATACTTTTAAATACAGACATAAAAACAGCTTCAGCTTTCAGCAGTTTTACAGTATTTTCTTTGAAAGACTTAATTGAATTTCCACAACAGAATGACATTAAAATGATCAATTCTTATAACTAATTATTTTTTAATTAGGTTGAAAACAATGTGCTTGTCTTTTGCCAATGAAAGAGTTACATCCATCTCTTTTAGCTAGAAATGTTTCTCTTTCTGTGTATGAAAACCTAAAAATAGGAATAAAATGGTGGTTCTATAAAAATAAATGTCCCATAGTGAATATGTATATATATATATATATATATATATATATAGATAGATAGATAGATAGATAGATCGATAGATCGATAGATCGATAGATAGATCGATAGATCGATAGATCGATCGATAGATCGATAGATAGATCTATCTATCTATCTATATATATATAGATATAGATATATCTATATCTATATATATATATATAGCCAGGGTGGGAAAGGGGAACCTGGCCGCTATATCTATACATATATAGATGTAGATATATATAGATATATTTATATCTATATATATATCTATCTATATATAGATATATAGATTTATTGCCCAGCCTTATTTTGTTTACATTTGTAGTTTGTCCCCTTTACTCTGATGCCTCTGAATAAAATCCAGTGTTACCACTGCCTCCAGAGATTGCCTAATTAAGTTTATTTCAAAGTGAAGGGCCAATAGGGGGCGCTAGGGGGCCTCAGAAAGTTAAAGGTAAAATAAATTTAAAAAAAAAAATGCAAAAATGAATCAATATATTTTGAATTAGAATTATTTTCATAATTTAAGATAATGTCATTTAATTAATATTATAAAATCAGAACACCAAATAGCAGTCAGTAGATAAAAAAATAAAATAAAAAAATCTGTTACAGACAAACCGTACCATTTTTGCCTGTAGCTATACTAAAAACCAGCTGTTTGTTTTCTCCGTCTTCATGTTTATTCACTACTTTGTGATAAAATCCCAGTAAGAACTATTGAAAACTGTGGTGTTGATGTGATAAAATGTGAAAAAGTTTCAAAGGTGTGAATACTTTTGTTAGGCCTTGTAATCGCAAACAATACATTTGAATGCAGACATGACAAGTGGATGGTCATGTAGTTAGGATCTCTCTCACCGTTTCAAACTCTGAGCAGCAAGGGTTTGAATCCCTCATAAAATTAACATCAATGCAAATTCAGTTTATGCTTGATTTTAATCTTTGGTTATTTCATAAAAAGTAATCAACTCAGTGAATATCTGAAAATAACAGATCCTGGAAGCATGCCAGGGTTTTTAATGGAGAGCTGCTGCAGGAGCATCAACGTTTGAGAAAGACCAGTTGCCATTTTGTTGCGTCAGTGAATGACTCAGCTTCGGTTTTTGGACATTTCACAAGCTGGAGCTGCTGCTCTCTTTCCTCCTCAGAGTCCTGTATCATCTCTGACTATCTGGTTGTGCAGCTCTTTAAGCAGAACGAACATCTGCGCAGCCCGTTGCAATCATCTGAGCGGTGGGAGGGGCCCTTAAGAGGCCCCGTCCTTCACAGTTTTGGCACCGCAAACCCATTCCACTGTAGTGCTTTCAGAGCCGACTCCGGGCCCCGCACCTCCACAATCGCCGCAGGGGTGACAGAGGTGCATCTCTTATCGGTACAGAAAGCCCATTGTCCAACCAGGGAAATACAGAAAGCAATTAACGCAGCACCGGAATAATAATGCGAGCTCATTACCTATTATCAAAGCCAGTGAATTAGCTCACTGTCCACAGCGGCAGAGAGTGAAATCCTCCACGCTCGATTATTTACGCTCTTTAATTGCAGGAGCTTGTCTGAAATAAATTTCACTTTTATGCACCAAAAAAGAAAAAAAAGGTACCAGTTTTTAACTAAGAAAACACAGATGATAGATTAAAGCAGATTCTCATTAGCATAAAATGCATTTGATTTGTGAAAGTGGGTTATCCACAGAAAGCTCAGTCTGCTTTCCTCCTGACTCGCTTGTCAAGAGCTTCATGTTCATCAGTCAATCAGATTATACACAAAACTGCTTTTTCTCCTGCAGGGATTCTGATTTTTTTCTTTGCCTTGTTATGCATTAAAAAGATAAAAAAAATAAAAAAATCCCATCAATGTAACTAGAAGTTTTTGAGCTGCCGATAAGCTCTTCCCCTCTGTTTGAAGCGCAACTGGACGCTTTTAACTTTCACGTAAGGGTGAAAATAAAAAGTAAAGAATTAACAATGAAAAGTGCAGTCATATCTCTTTATGTCCTGCAATAAAATATTTAAAGCATGGACTCTCAGACTCCAGCTTTAAATAAATAGATAAGTCTTAGCATTTCCCTGGCAAGAGCTTGAAAGTCCTCTGTAGAGGTTTGGATTAAAGCCAAGTGAGCCGAGCTGAATACCTGCACACTTAGAGTAAACCTCATTAGTTCCTAAAGACTCTCTATACCCCAGCTGTTAAGAACAAGCCCACATTAGGAAAATCACTTCTAGGGTCTTCGGCTCGCTGATAGATTTCCCTCCAGCGCCTTCAAGAGGCCGCTCACCTTGTTGGCTGAAGGACTGCTCAAAGACAGACTTGTAAAGGCTGCGGAAGGAGGCACTGAGATCTTCGAAGTCTGAGAACGGGAGCTGCTTTTCCCTGTCTGGCATGCTGTACTGGGACTGGGGGGGCTGCTGCAGGCTCATCGACTGGGACACGGGCTCCGGATGACTGGTCACCTGGGGAGATGGAGGGAGACGAGGGACAAGCTGGGTTTAATGTTTTACATGCGAAAGGAACTACTGCTGGAAAGATGTTTCAGCAGATATAAATTATATGTAAAAAAAAAAGTAGAGCATGATATGTATTCAGCCGCCTGTAGCTGTTGTGCGAAGGCTTCAGAGGTTTGTTAGTGAAGATTTGTGAAAAACAGTATGATAAACAGCACACAGGAAAAGAAATCCGGCTGCGGAGAAAATTTAGAGCGAGGTGAGGTTATAAAGCAATATCCTAACCTATAAAAAACATGTCACGCATTGCTGTTCAATTCATCATCTGGAAAAAACCCCACAAAGTCAACGTGAGCTGACCGGCCAGACAAGGAGCGTTAATTGGAGAAGCAGCACAGCAGCAGGAGCTGCAGAGATCAACAACTCAGTTGGATTATTTAATAACGTTTAGTTATGCACTTCATGAATCTGTCTTTATTTTAGGCCAACCTTGACACCAGGCTGGTTTGGTTTGTTTAATCAAACTCTAGTGCATTGGTTTAGAAAGTCTGGTTCGACTGGGGAGGTGTGAATGCGCAATTGAACTCTATAAAGTGGACCAAAGAAGCGAACTCTGGTCTGACTAAAAACCTTGGTCTCAGTTGAGTTGAATTGAACTCTGGAGCGGTTTAAATGCATGTTTGAATGCCAAACGGACCAGAAACTGTTACAAAAGCAGGAAGTGGATTATAGCTCAGGTAATTGAGGGTAAATACAATCAGAACAAATGCATGTGTCAGGCACTAGAGGGGGAAATGGCCCTTGGTCTTTTACAAATGACTAGAAAAATTCTATAATCGCTAAAATCTGATGCCACTTCATTTTTGTTTACAGTTTGTGAAGAAGGAAGTTGTGCTCAGTCTAGTCTTCTGAGGTTTTTGTGTCGTTTCCTTCTTGGTGCATCGCCACTACAGGTCAGGAGGTTAAAAGGTTTTTCCGATTGTTTGACATAACGAGTGTGTAACTGTAAATGGAGTGTGTAAGTGAATCTCATCAGCTGAAAATGTAAGAAATAATTCAATTTTGGTCAAAGAGATGCAAGAAGAAATCCAAAATAAGCCAAAAGTAAAGGTAAAGTTTTGGTCTCGTCTGCACAATATGAATAGATCGTCACCACTTTGAAACATGGGGGTGGCAGCATCATGTTGTGGGGAAGTTGTTCTTCAGCAAGGACAGGAAAGTTGATCAGAGTTGATGAATTTTTGTTTGCTTCCTGCACAGTGAGTGCAGCGGTTCGAATCCGCTTCCTCCTGAAGTCCAGAAATATTCACATATTTCTGTAAATTGCCCTAAAGTCAGAATGTTGTACAAACAAGTTTCTGTTTGTTACGTTATTGGAATAATTTTTGTAAGGCACTGCAGCTGCCATGGTGCAACAGAATCGGAAAAAACAACCTGTGAAATATTTTATGTAAATCAGTGATAAAACTCAATAATAGCTCCATTCTGTGAAGCTGCGACTATCATGTTTCAGCGTGAAGATGTGTCCCTCATGCAACATAAAGAACAAATTACGTGCACCATAACAATGCAGGTCAGTGCTTACCGCCTTGGCTCACACAGCATTAAGAGAGCAACTCGAATGGACATAAAGCCAATACTCTGGTGGCCGAGCAAAATGTATTTAAAACAAAATCAATAGCAATACCTTGAACAAATAAGCAGCCATTTTATCCATGTATTTGTGTGGGCAGTCAATGTAACACACCGCCTCTGGGTGTGAGACAGAAGCACTGTTCCCTCCAGCTAAGGGCTTGTCTGAGAGATTCTCCGCAGCAAGGGCAGCAACGCAGACACAGTCCTATTTCACACAGCAGAAACCTGACCTGTGTCCACTGTGGGCTCGCTTTACAAGAGAGGTCGTGTTCAATTTTTGATCCTAACATCTTCCTCTTCTAAAATATGGACAGGCTGCTGAAATGTGTGGCTCGTGAACTGGCTTGGAGAAGAGTGAAGAGGTGATAATAAAGCCAGAGTGTTTACTGAGAGCTGCCGCTTAGTCTGGGAGAGAAAAAGAGAAAGAAAGCAGGAGCGGGCGGGCGGGCGAGCGAGCGAGCGTGAGCGCATCCATCAGGCTGAGCCGATCGATGCTCGGCGCCTGGAGCGGGGAGCACTCCAGGATGCAAGGAGGACCACACCAAAGAGGGGGCATCTCTGGTGGGAGGACATCAGAGGGAGAGCTTCTCTTTGTCTGGCTTCCAGGAGCGAGCGCAGTTTTCTTTGTTTCTCTTAACCCCGTTCCTGATGTTGTACTCTCGCTCATGTCCACCCTGAACCTCGGTCTATTGCTGTCTGCAGCTGGCTCCTCTGAACAAAACCTCCTGGGGCTTTCCCATCAACTCTCAAACAGGATGCAGACCGCTTTGTACGACTCACAGGGTTTCGTTTTTATTCCTTTTTGTGACCGTGGCTCTCCAGCAGATGAAAACTATTGATCAAAATGTACAATTTACTACTCTGAACAAAAAAAAATGCTACAGTGCAAAAGTTTTAAAGCACCTTTAATTAATTTACACTCTGCTTTCTTGCTATTGATCAATATTTCTTCAGGATTTCTGTGAGATTTTGGATTTTGGCTGCTTTATTGCAATTTTTTTTTTTTTTGCACAGTTACAAAAGTGGAACTGGCAACGACAGGCCAACAGTTCCAGTTCAAGTTCGATTGAGAATCACTACATTGGTAATGATTTAATAATATCTTTGATATTTTTCTACAAATTCAACTAATAAAATAAATAAATCACCATTTAATTAGTAAAATGTCAAAATTGTCTGTTAATTTGCCTGTTATTTGTAGAGATGTCACTGGTTCAGTTTAGTTGGCCTTTATGTCTATTGTCTATTCAAAGGTCTGACTTTAAACGTCCTTCATGAAAAAAGCCAGTAAGTGATTAGTTGGAAAAAAACACTAAAGGTACTCCTGGAAACCTGGTGAACTATAAATCAACACAACTTGATATTTCCAGGGAAGTCTGGCTCCTTGGAAGGAAAATACAAAAAAGGACGAATTTCTCAGAGACATAAGAAATAAAACATTCATGTTTAATATGTAGGGTTTTTTTGGTGGTAGGTCAGTTTTACCCCCATTTTGAAGCCAAGCGTTAATGTCAATTTGTATCAATTTAAATACACACCCATTTATTATCATTTAAAGTTAAACATCTCCATGAATTTTAGAGATTATAAAATGCAGAAATTTCTTATCACTCGTAAAATATGACTGATATGAAACCTAACCACACTTCCTTAAAGCAGATTAGAATCAGGATGTAAAAAAGTATGTTACTTGAGCTGCTGTCAAAGGGGGACAAAAACATCTCTGGTTATGTTAAAAAAAACAAAAAAACATTTTTTTTAAATGGTAAAGGGGTGAAACAACCAGCATATGCCCTCGTTACATCAATGTGTTACTACAGATGATTGTGATCATGCATGGCTTGTATCTCACATTAAAAGAAATAACAGTTTGAGATAAAAGCTGGTGCTTTGAATGATTTTGCACTTCCAGAAATCTGTTTTCCAAACAGACAAATATGACATTGTTCTTACCGGTGTGTAGCTGTGAACGCTGCCCACACTGTTGAGATTGACAGAGGCTAGACTCTGATCAGACAGGCTGTTGTTAAGGCTGCTTCTCGGACTATCGCTACCTTCCTGGTCTGTGTTGTACAACGCCACCTGAAAGACATGAACACTCAAATGCATAAGAAAAAGAAGACGTCAAATAATTAAATTTATATAAAAACTATAAAGCCCTTTGAGTGTGTGTGTGGTTTTTTCAGGGGGGGTAGGAGAGCTGCTCAACCCAGTCCACAGCCACTGAGGGGTTTTGTAAAAGGGAGTCTGGAAACAGCTGAGACATTCCCACCGCTAAAGGTCAGGGCACTGGCGATGTCAGCCACATCTGCTCACCGAGCGCAAATCGGTTTGGGACAGCTAACAAAGGATTTCAGTGCAGCCGAGACGCTGACCTTTCAGTGTAGGAGCGAAACTAGCTGAAGCACTTCAGGACGACAATCTTAATTATCATCTAAGAAGGTTCTGTTCCCCCCACCGACGCCTAATAAAGTGCTCATCAGACTCTGAGGACAACAGTAAGCACAATCCAGATAATGAATGTGATAAATCCCAGAGAGGTTAGCCTGTGTGCTGAGGTTTGTTTTGCCAGGAAGGAATGGCAGCAATGCACTGATGGCTGCTGCAGTGGAGGAGAAGAGCCTGGTATTTTAAGACTGGTGTGTGTCTGTGTGAGCCTGTCTGTGTGTGCTGATCCATGACTGAGTGCAGCATGGTGGTTTCTGCTCATCACTGCGATCGGAACAGAGCGGGCTCTGTGCTGAGCACAATGAGACAGCAGCAGCAGAGTCTTCAGGCCGGCCTGGCCCTGCCAGCATCCTGCCTCCCAGCAGCAGCGGCGGACTGAAGCCTTTAGTGTTTCTGCAGAGACGCAGCGAGCTGCCACACAGCCGCCACAGGAGCTGGGGAAACCAAGGCAGCCCTGACTTCTTCCTCTGCTCAGACTGATGTTTGGCCCGCTGACAAACATGTTGGTTCACTTCCAGGACGCAGAGTTAGAGCCCAGATACATTAAGCCATTAGAACGGAGCTTGGCTCCTGCACTGGTACCAGGATTCCCACACTGTGCTTGTGTGTCAATATGTCCAAATTCAACATTACGGGTCTGGACATTTTTTAGGATACTAAGACAGGTGAAAGGACCTAAGTATGTAAGTAAAAATACAAAAATAGGTGGGAGTAAAAAGTATGCAAGTAAAAGTAAATATTGTGTAAGAATGTGCATGTAAACGTATGCTGGTGTAAGTAAGTAACCAAGTGTACAAAGGTTTAAGTACGTACAAGAGTAAGTAAAATTAATTAAATGTAAATGTGAATAAGTAGGTGCAAGTATGTGTACATCAGTGTATGTAAAAGTACTTAAGTAAAATTACTTCTTTAAGTAAATGTATATAGGTGTGAGTAAAAGTATGCAAGTGTGAGTGCAATTATGTGTATATACATGTAAGTATGTAAGCGAGTAAAAGTATGAAAGTTTACGTAAGGGTATAGAAATACAAGTAGGTGTATGCAAAAGTATGAACATGCAAGTAAGTGTGGGCAATAGTAAGTATGTGTAACTGTGTAAGTAAGCATGTGGATGGATGGATGAAGGGAAGGATGGAGTGATAGATGGAGGGATGGATGGATAGATGAACAGATACATGGATGGGGAACTTTTCAAAAATGGTTAAAAGAAATAGTCTAAACAGAAAGATTTTCCAAACTAGTTTTTTTTTATCCCTCATTATCCAGACTATGTGGGGTTGGTGTCTAATTTGATACTTTTGCATTCTTTTTCTGACTGCATAAAAACTCTGTGCTACAAAGAGTTTGTTAGCGTGAAGAAGAAACTGAATGAGCAGCTGAGGATATAGACTCGAGCACATCTACGTAATCAGCTCCACAGTGCTAATCAAAAACACAGCGCCACAGAAACATAAATGTTGTTTAATGAAGTCATAAAACAGGCTTTTATGTCTCAAGTCTCTCACCACAACCTATTTTTATTCTACTCAACCATAAAGTGTGTGATGATTTGAAAAACCTTGCTGCTCTGTGGTTTAGTCAACCCCCTGAGTCCCCTGAGTGAGGACACCCACTTAAAGCATGCATCAACAGCCTACCAGAGTCGCAGCTTACCCACAAAACGTACGAGGTTGCACTTACATACGGCAAAAACACTTAAATACAATTAAGTGTGCACACACAGGTAGAAGAGCGCACATAAACACACGCAGACAGGTTCATGCAGGCAGGAGCAGCGCCGCAGTAAATGCTATGCATGGTTATTAGGCTACTGAGTCAGAGATCTATTCTTAGCGGTGTATTAAGTAAAAAGCCAGAGGTGTCTTTTACATGGAGGGGGGCTAATCTACAGTATGAGACATGGATTATGGAATCAAAGCAAGATTGGCCCAGGTGTCTCCAACAACGCCAGAGCACAATCCCTGCAAGCAGGATTGAAAAGAGGAAAAGAGAGACGACAGACACGTGACAGAAAAGGAGAGGAGTGTTCATCTGTAAATAAGCCTAGTTACAACAATCCCTTCCTCTGCTCAATCACAACACTTCAGTGGCGAAATTTCAACACATCCACAGCAGTCTTGAGTTGCCACAGAAGAGAGCTCTCCATGAGAAGAGGACAAAAGGAAGAAATTCAGCATGGAGCGTCCTACAGACGACAGAAAGAGAGCAGAGGATCCTGCTGGTTCAGTAGTCACCCTGCAGGCCTCTCCCATTGGCCTGTCGGGGAAGGCGGGAAGGAGGGAGAGAGACTGGAATAGAAAGACAAGAGAGAAAAACAGAGAGAGGGAATTCCTGTGGCTTGGCACGGCGCACCGAAAGAGGCGTGGCCTGTCGTGTGTTTACAGTGTAAAGCAGTTAGAAACAAGCCTTCTCCTAGGAGTTTGGGCCTCAGATCTGTTGCTCCTTCTGTCTTCTGCTCGCAAAAACACAATCAAACAAACAGAAGGAAAACAAAGAAAAACCTGTCGCTCATCAACAGCACAAGTGTCGGGTTATTTTATTATCTTCTTACTCATCTACGCCATTTCACTTCTTCTTCTTTTTTGTTTTCTTGTACTTGGCGGCAGAGTCTGGGCTTCGCTGTCAACACTTAACATCAGGGCTTCATTATGGGATCACTGCTGGTGTTGTGGACTCAGAAAAAGTGTCATCTCCCCTTACAGTGCCTTGCAAAACTATCCATACAACCAAAACCTTTCCACATTCTGTTGTAAACACTAGCGTCAATGTGACCTTATGTGTTAGATAAAAAAAAGTGGATCATATTTCCAAAATGGAGACAAAATGGCTGGTTTGAAATGAAAAATGCCTTCAATCCCTCTTGTCAATGCAATCAAAGCTTTAAATTTGCTGAGACATGTCTGCACCACGTTCACAAATCAAGACTTTTTAAGTAAATATTCTTGCGAAACAGATCAGTCACATTGGATGGGAAGAGTCACAATCAATTTTCAAATCTTGCCAAAGATTATCTATTGGAGATAAGTCTGGGTGATGCTAACATATTAGTCTGCTCTGACCTAAACCAATTAACTGTAAATTGAGAGACTTTTCAGTGCCACACCAAAGCAGGTCCTTAAAACTTGAATAATAAAAAACTTTTGCACTGACCTTTGAAGGTCACAGTTTAATAATCTAGTTCATTTGAAAACAGAAGCTGAAATTTCAAAGATAAACTCATCAACAAAGTCCCTGAAAATCATAATTCTATTTGAATAAAGTTATAAATTTCTCATCAATCCAGACCTCAAAATCCTGTGCACAAAATTAGCTGATGTAAACAGCGACAGTTTATTTTGCATTTCTGATTATTTTTGTCATTAATCTGCTGCACACTGTTGTACACAATGCAGCTACAATGTACTGAGAAATTTATTACCGTCAGATTGCAACGGTAATTGTTAGCAAAGCCACTCGGCATATCACTTAGCAAATTCCTCTTTTCTCAAACTTAGGACTGGAACATGGTTAGATTAAAGCTCTTTTGGAGGTAAAATAAAACAGCACAAATATTGCATCTTTGTTCCAAATATCACTAAAAGCAACTTACATCACATTCTGAGTTGATGGCAGTATGTTGGAGTAGCTCTGCTACGCTTGTTTTGATTTGTTCTGTGTGAAACTTCTTTTGAATTTTCTGGGTGAAATGCAGCTTTTTTTTTTTTTTTACTATTATTCCAGGATTTCTGCTCTCACTTTTTTATATTTTTGGAAAGTTATGATGCACATCAAGTTCAGCCAATCTCTTCCAACTATCAGATTGGGCGAGGATTATATTCCCGACTGCAACATCTCAGTTTGGGTTTCCAAAAGCAAATGAAGCTGGTTAGCTGTAATCGCCAACAACTGATGTCCATGTTACTGTGAAATATCATCTCTGCTGCCAGGATTTTGAACCGCATTCAAGAACAGTCAGGAGACTTGCTAAACAACAATCTTCAGTCAGGGGCTGCTTCAGATTTGTTGCAACACCAACTGCTACTGGAAGCCTTTCCTTCCCACAGCATCACCATCCACAACTGCTCTTTGAAGACGACTTTTTGAAAAAGTTTCTTTCAACTGAATTAGATGGTCTATCTGACCATCTAAATACATTTGGTTGGGGGTTTTGATGAAGTGAAAATGTGTGGGGGTGGTGAATAATTTCACAACGCGCCCTATATCCGAGTTTGAGAACATTTCTGTAGAGACGTTAAAAAAAAATACAAAAATCCAGTTTAGTTCAAAGACACAGCCTGCAGCAAATAGTCTGACACTTGTCAAAACCAGCTATAACATACTCTATTGTACATGTACACACTTGCTACAACACGGCAGACATATGCTCAGCCTTCATAAGTACCTGACACACAACACCAACTCATATTTCCTATGAGCGCCGCGCTAATGTTAAATCTTTTTTTTTTATTATTTGTAGTGCTTGTAGCAAATGAATAAGCGACTCTTGTAGGCTTTTTAAAAGTGCTCCTGAGAGCTGCCCCCACTGGGCCCAGAGGATGAGAGCTTAAGGTTAAAAAGCCTATTTAAATTTCAGAGAGAGACACATACTCACGGCTAACAGCTAGCGGTCCCTGTAGCTTTGCTCTGTGATGTATAAGTGCTTCTAAGCTTTTACAGATGTAAAGAAAAAATGGAGCAGACAGTTGTCAGCGGGGGTTCAGGGGATCACCTGTAGTTGATCAGAAAATGCCAAATAACTCTGAGCGAAGTCTGAGCTTCGTGAAGAATGTCAAACTTATCATTTTGGGCCGCATCGAGATCATGGATGTCCTCCAGGGCTTGTTGTGCCAGAATGTATTGATAAAACCTATTAAACTGTTAAAATACCAATACATAGCTGTATCTGCATGCAATAAGTATTTCTTAAAATCAAATTATGTCAAACATCTTTCCCATTGATTAGTCCCTCCTGGATTTTATGATTGGTTTTGTGATTTTTTTACAATAATCACAGATTTTGTGATGCTAGTTTAAAATATTTCCATCACAAAGATGTTTAAATATCAAAACTAAATAAAAGCACAGAATTAAATAAGATGAATTATGAAGTCCTTCAAACTAGTGGTGGTTGAAAGACTTATCCAGTTTTTGCTGGAAAGAAAGAATAGAGAAAATCATAAATCATGCAAATGGAAATGATTTAGTTTGTTTCCATTTATCACGCGATTAATTGTTTTATTGCAACAACCCTAAATAAAGTCCGGGGATGTATTGATTTTATATGAATTTCCACAATCAAGGAACCTCAAAAAACTGAACGGACTAATTGATGTAATTTGGGAGTAAATGGATAAAAACTGACAAGATCACATTTTAAGAACACAACCCTCATCCTGAAGCTTCTACTCACGTATCCCTCTATTTAAAGGGCCACACAAAAAACTATGGCGGGCCGGATTTGGCACTTGAGCCTCGAGTTTCACACATGACACAGAGTGTGAGAAGCGCTCAGTTTCAAGTGTATAAGAACGTCTCAGTATCAGTGTGAGCGTTGGATTTCTAAGCAGAACACTACAGGAGTCTGGTTGTTGTGCAGGACAGAAGTAGAACAGGGGCAGCTAGTTGTGTGTTTTGGTGTGGGTTGCAGAGGAGAGGAGCTTTAGGCACATGAGCAGATGCTTGTGAGTGCCAGCATCTCCCCTCCACGAGAGTGTGCCTCTCTCTGTGGGGAATAGTGCTGTAGGTGGTTGGAGAAGTGGGCGGGGTCAGGGTGCAGCAGTGGAGCCAGGTGTGTGCTGGAGCTGGAGGCTGGATGGCTTGCTGTAGTACCTTGTTAGTCACAGTGTTGATTGCCAGCGTTGGAGAGGCACTTCCAGAGATCATACAGTCCATCCCCAAAGACTCTGAATCCAGGCTGTATGGTGTGGAAGCCTGTGGAGGTGGGAAGGAGAGAGGGGGGTGTAGAGGCACAACAGTAAAAAATAAAAATAAAATAATAATAATCCAATTATTACAAACACAGGATCTCACCACAGAGGGCTGAATAGAGCAGCCTATATTGACGGTATAAACACAAACTAACACCAGATGCATCTGCAAGATACCAAATATAAAACCAGAATGGAGCAACACCTTTATTTAGGTCATCTTTGAACTGAGATTTTTTTAAAAAGACGCCCCCCTTCCTCCCTGACTCTCACTACCAATCAGACTTACAGTGTTGCACATACATGCCCTCTTCTTGCCGTATATGCAGTGTTGTCAGAGATAACTCTGCTATGCCCGTCTCCCAAAACTGCTTACTGTAAGAGGATTGGCTGCCAACAATACCACTTTTTTAAATTCACGATAAATATAAATGAGATTTCTAAAAAGAGAAAAACTCAATTTCAATGTCTGTGACTCTTAATGGAAAGCCTTTTGGGCAGACGGTGCCTCTGTGGGGGAGGGGTTTAAACAGAGCATTTGTATTACAGAAAAACATTCTCTTCACTTTGTGCGCTCTTTTGTGTCGCACTCAAACGAGTAAAGCTGCATTTTGCATCATATCTATATGAACATAACAGACAAATGTGTGATTTATGCATACTGGTGTCCTTAATCAGCTTAATCAATTGCTTTAACACACTGTGTGTGTTCAGCGATGCTCCAGAGTCAGGCTAATGCAAAGAGTGTATTTAAATAACCTGCAGATATATGTTCAAGTGGAAAAAAACTCAGGCATAATTACTTATGGTATGGATGCCAATAATTCTACTGAGGTATCTGAGTTGTACCTTTTCCAGAGCTGAATCATTATAAACTGAACAACTGCAGTGGTTTTGATTAATAAAAACTGGCTGCACAGTACACCAAAAGACTCATATGTTTACATACAACCTCACCAATATTTGGATAAAATGTCCTGGAACAAGCTGAAGAAAAAACAAACACTTTTGAAATCAACAAATTGTAACATATTTGTAGATGGTTATTTGACAACTGCTAAGCTTAATTAAAACTGAGCTGAAAAAAGATGGTTATAAGTGACATACTGAGAGTTAGAATTGTTATAGTATATTTTATGTATTTATCAGCTTTCTGTATAATCTGTAATTCAGTTTTTTACATTTTTATATACGTTTAATTTATCATCCCTCAAATATTTGAATCAATTTTTCATGTATGTGGGTTTTAAAGATGGACCACAGGGAGCGTAGCTGTATATAAACTCCTAGAAAAGTGAAATTAGGATCCTCCCCTAACCTTAATAAAGTCTGTTTTTTCTTTTTAAACCATATTTATCACATCTTTGGGGTTATTGTCATGTTAGATCTAAGACTGGGCATAAAGGCATACATATAAAATCTTAGATTTACCAAAAAGATTTACCAAAAATTTGATCAACTGATAAAATCGATTTACTCCCCAGTTCGAGTTAAAACAGGTAATTGCTGCCAAGTTTCAACAATCTGACCCAAACTGTTTGGGAAACCAAAGTCTAAAAAAACTTTAGATCTGTTTTTATTTTCAGGATCTCAGAGTCCCTGGTGCCCGTCTCCAGCAGTTGTTGGGAACATCCTGGACAGGTTGCACCCAATCATGTTTTTGGATGAAGCACCAGGAGAAAACCATGCATGGACAATCCATAAACCTCTAAGTCTTTCATAAACTGGAACTTCTTGGAAAACCAGTACAAATGTCCCCAATCAAGTGAGTGGAAGGTCATCATTCAATGGACTCAGAAATAAGGCAATGATCAAAACCTAATCAATATGTAGAATTTCAACCTGGTTTGGATTCTGATGAAAAATGTGAATTTTTGATTGAAATTCCAAACAGTAAAAAGAAGGACAAAAGGAAACTGAAGCAAGCTGATCTCAACACTTGAGTTAAGGATGGATGCAGAAAGCAGTTTTCTTTTGATTTGAAGCGACTCACCCGCTCTCCAGACCGTGGCCTCTTCTTTGGCCGAGTCGGCAATGCGTCCTCCTTCGGGTTGGTGTCAATGGCCCAGTAAGAGCCCTGCAGACAAACAACAGATCTGTGAGTCGATACCAAGGATTGTTTTCATAACTTTATTACAGTGGTCTATAAACAATTTGTGTAAGGCCAGACAGGAAACCAAGAAAAGAAAAAAGGAAGTCAGGAAGTTTCCCCTCTGCCTTCACAGTCTGCCCTATCAGCCGAAATCTTTATTGGAGCTGATAGTCGAGTGGTTAAAGGTTGTGTCGAGTGTAGGAGGTCTTTGTTAGGAGGAAAGGCTGGGCTTTCTCTCCTCGGCGAGAGGCGGCGGAGGGCAGCTGGTGGTAGTAAAATGTTAAGCCTTTCCTGCAGCTCTGCGTTCTCGGCCTCAGGTACTGAACCCAGAGCGAGCGCCGCTGCCAAGGATGAAGAAAATAGGCTCAGCAATCAAAGTAGCGCTCGCCTCGCTGTGTTGCTCCTTTCAAGGTCTGAGCAAGGCTAATGGAGAAGAGGGAACTCCACCACCAAGCTGAATTATTTACCTTTCCATTTGGCCTCAATTAATTTATTTTTCAATAGTGTTCCACCTGGAAGGCAACAGGAGTAACGCTCAGCTTTATATAGAGCAAGATTCCTACCCTAAGGCTGTATGGGTTGTGAATTTGTTTTCAATATTTTACACAATTCATCATAAGATCTCAACTGTCAAGATCAGCACTTTGGAAATCACTTCCTTAACAGAGAGAATAATTGATATTTCCATAGGAGACTCAGAACAACAGGCCGGACTCCAGAACCCCAGCAAACACACCGCTTTACTCTGACTGCATCAGCTAGTGTGTTATTTCTACAGCTTTCACACCAAGGCTGGATCTAGCGGGCTTAAATTCTAACTTTGAGAATGTGTGCAGCAATTAACATTGTCCTCAGAGGATAAATAATTCACACTACAAGCAAAAACATGGATATTACTGTATAGATATGGGCCATGGTTGAATAAAGCACACACTGATGAGAGGTTCGACTCGAGACAAAAAAAGATTTGACAAAATCTCTACATTTGATCTTCTCTGAAATTGCAGTGGTTAAAAACGGACTGAATGCTTCCTAGTTTTTTGTCGCACAGACAAAGCTGGGCTTGGTTGCCGTTTTTTTTAATTGAGAGAGGAAGAGGAATAAGTTAACCCTCCTGGGACGGGAGTTTCTGCGTTTTCCTCCACTCAACCCAAGAGAGTTTGCAGGGGAAAAAAAAGGAATAATATATAAAGACTCATTAAATTATTCACAAATACAGCAGTATACTGTAGCAATGCCAAGTCAAGTGTGTCGAAGTCTGGGGCAAAAACAGAGCAAAGCAGCCGCAGCATTCTCTGTGGTCAGAAGACGAAGGAGGTAAAGTTTGTTTTATTTGTTCAATGCAAACGGATCCCAACAGCAGATCTTCTCTTCCTCCAAATGACACAGCTCATTTTCATGCGTTAGCATAAATTACGTCACCTGCTTCCTCTTTTTAATGTAAATTTTAGAGCGACAAACAAACAAGAATGAAGCCGTAGCTCAATTAAAATGAGGATTGTTACAGGTAGACTTCACATTGCGTTTCTTACCTCTGCATGTGCACAGTACTAACAGTCATCTCTAACATCATCTCACTGACAGGGAGCGACATGACTCTCCTATCTCGTGCAACCAGCAGTTCTCATATTCCTGCCACATTACAATATTGATGCAACATATCAAGACCGGCTAGCAGCTCTTTGAAGTTGTCTTCAGGGGGGGAAAGGCAGTGAGGAAAATTCCAAATTAAACATTAAGGATGCGAACATGTTGGCCATGCATTTGGAATGGGATCCATACTGCAATAGATTATTTTGTATTTAGTGGAGCAGCTCCCAGGAGTGTCAATATCAGAGGATTACAGCAAAACATGAAATTAGCATTCAGTCCCCATCCTCTACACAGCCTGGTGTAGCTCTTCACGCGCGCGCGTGTTGGTGTGTGCATATAATTATTTGTGTTGCTGCCTGAGCATATGTAGTGTGTGTTTTGGCAGGACAGAGATGATATCTGGGTTTGGCTGCATATAGCTGGACCTATGCACACCGTCACTGTACAGGTGAAGCTCACTAAATTAAAACATCATTTAATGCCTTATTTGAGTCATTTGGCCACAACAAATTATATACAGATTAATTATAAACAGCAATATATTGAAAGTTAATTAAAGTTGAAGATCATTACTTAAAGCTTAAAAATATCACAGGGTGCTGTAATACAGTATATCAATGAAAAGATGAGTGGAAGGAGAAAGTGTCCAAAAGCAATTGAGATGTAATTGCAGCCTTAAGATTGTGAATCATAACCCATTGAAGAAGTAGGTGTGTCTGCAGACAAAGTAGGCGTTTCTAAAGGGAAACGTTTTTAATGAGCCACACCTGGATAGATTAATTAATATCTGTAATTGGACTTTATTTTGAAGAAACATTGCTAGATTCCCTCTCTGACGACGGATTTTCATTTAATTATCTAATTTCACAAGCTTAACGTCATAACTATTAAAAGACTTATTAAGCACCACGATATGATAATGGCAGGTCACGACTCCTCCTGCCTCTCTTAACAGAACATCCAGTCACATTCAAAATAAGATCAACAAAATCACAGTGCTTTAATAACCAGTGGTCTGCAACCTACTGCATGTAAATAACCAATCATTTGCTATGACATGAGCTCAAAGTATGACACTACAGCTTATTATTTGACAATAATAATGGATAAGTGGCTTAAGACCTGGTCACTGAAAAGAAAACCTGAAGATACTGGTGGAAAGTTTCTCATGGTGAGTTTTAGAGCCTTTGTTTTTGAACATTACTTTGAAACACAGCATGCCACAGGCATCAAGATCTAGGACTGCGCCCCACGCTGACTAACTGCATCTGAGCACCTAAACTAAAATTATTTACAATGGTAAATCTACTGGCTGAAAGAAAGTCTTTATTTTTGCCAAACAACTCAAGTTTTCTATTTTTCTTTTATTATGATTCTAGATTGCAAAAAGCACTGAAATGGTATTAGTGCACATAACTCTTGTAGTGAAGAACTTTTTTTGATTTCCATGTGTTTTCCATCATTGGAAAGCTTAGAATCCACAATTTTATAATGTGTAAATAACTCAAAACGCCCCAAGTTGTTCATGGTTTTATCCAAAACAGAGCCACCCTTCACATTACCATGAACAAAGAAAATGAGTCAAGAAACTCATATTTTCATTTCAGGTTCTACAGATTATGTGTTATTTTGGGGTCAATTTCAAATTGGGCGGTTTGTGAACGTTTGTCAAGTGGTCCTAAGCCTGAAAAAGTTTGAGAAACACTGCTTGATGATCCCGATTTCATTTTCCAGCAGGATTTGGTAACTGCCCACATTGCCAAAACTGTGCAGCTTTGACCAAATGCTGGTCTGACTTAAACCCCATGGAGAAGCTATGGAGTAAACATGAGATAACCAAGTCAACAATGCTAACAAGATGAAGATCGGTGTTAAACCAACCTGGGCTTTTTTAGCACCTCAGCAGCCATGCCTCGCTGCACTGATGCAATAATTAATACTTTTCAGTTGGTTCATGTATATGTATATGAAAAGAAACCTTTTTTGATTAGTCTGATGCAAAATAATATCAACAAAACAAACAAAAATAAATGCTTGAAATATTCATATTCCTCTCTGTGTGTAATTAATTTATTACATATCTGAGTTTATCTTAAAGACGTCCTAGGTTACTGAGTTGCCCCTGTGAGTCAAGGTCTTTAAACCCCCTCGCAGTCCATCAAGGGATCTTCCTCATCAGGCTGCTGTCGCTTGAGATTGGGAAGTAGATCGAGCTAAAATAGCAACAGTAGGTGGTCCAACTGAGATTTAAATGTCAAATTAACATAGACTATATATTCTTATAGAGGAGAGAAACAGGAGGAGAGCTGAACTGGAAACAAACGAGAGCAGATTTTTTATTTATTTATTTTTTATTAATACTTCAGGGACAATCGTTTCTGGAATCGTTCTGCCCTTCACCACTTTTCTGTCCAAAACTTTTACTTCATATATCCATGTCTGCTGTCTGTGTTGCTTCAAAGATAATAATAAAGATCCATTTCCTTTTACATTTAAAATGCATGTGTGAGAGGAGGTTCGTAAGAAAATGTGCATTCCTTCCGTTTTCAGTCTGTCAGAGTCCTGGCAGTTATTCAAAGGTAACATTTTTCTACCAGGGAGAGCATGACACACACACCCCAAAAATGTTTCAGCTGTGTGTTCAGCCAACAGAGTCTGCTCAGTTGAAATTTAACACATTTTCTCTTTTTTCCTCCCCTCACTTGCATGCAGTCTTGAACTGACCGTGATTCAAATAATGTGTGTCAGTCTTACCTTTCCAGGGTCATCTTTGGAGCGAGGCACTTTGAGAAAACATTTGTTTAGCGACAGATTGTGCCGTATTGAGTTCTGTGAGGGAAAACAGAGAGAACGGTCGTGAGGTAAGTAAACATATCAAAGATGCTGATTGTACAAAGTATTTTGTAACAAAGCAAAAACACTGGTGCCCATAGCAACAAGTTCACACACTTTACATCTTTTTCCCCCCATTGATTTACAGTCAAACAAGAGCTTAAAGGCTGAGAAACATAGATTTCATCTCATCCAATGAACTCCATTTGGGCTGCACATCATATCAAATTCCACGGGTGCCAGAAATAGGAGCAAGAAGGAATCCCACACTGGGATGGCTGCTGATAGCAAGGCCTGATATTAATTAATGCTCTAGCAGCCTCCTGTGGGGGCTGGAAATAAATTATGTAGATCATTCTGAAAGTTAACTCATTACTGTGTTACGAGCTGGTCCACACTGGTGGATTGGGAGATGCATCCAGCTGCCTGATATGAAAGGAGGGATGGGTTTAAGAAACCATGCAGGTTAGATTGCAAAATCTAGGTCCCCCTGCAACAGAAAGACCCCCCAGGCTGCCACCCCACGAACCAGCTGCTGCCTGACCACCGGCGGGCTCGACATTGCCAATGGATCTGCATCCACTCCACTTTATGGACTGGATGCAGACCGATGGTCACAGTGAAAAGCAAAGGATAAGCCGAGAGAGGCGCTCTGTCAGAGACAGACAAGAAACTCCACATTTTTCATGTTAGAGTTTCAGACATTTCCATACTTAAATCAGCCAAGTTCTCAGTGCCGGGAAGGAATACAAATAAGAGTTTACTGCCGGTATTTAGGTCGACTTTAACTATAGAACCTGTAAGGGTGGATGATGTATTGGAACATAGATGGAAAGATGAGTGGAAGGAACAAACACAATAACGTATGGTTGAATGGATGTCGAAATGAACCAATGAGCAGCAGAATGGGTCAATTGGTGGACTGATAGAGTCAGACATTGGAACAGGAAATGAAGTATTTACAATTTACCATTTTTAATACTTATCCAAACATGAAAAGTAATAAAATGTAATGCTTTTCCAGAAAGTGGAAGAACCCTGGATAGAGAGATAACTTCCCACTGATTCATCATAAAAGTTACCCACATGATCGTTGTTAATCCCACTGGTTAAACCTCTGAATGACCACAATTCAGCCAACCTGCTCTTTAATACAAAATTATGGCTTGGTGAAATATTCAAAGGAGCGGCATTATGTATTTTCTACATAAAGCCATTTTATAGGACAACTAAGAAGCTATGTTACCATCAGCTGTTATGAAATGATGTACATGTCAAATTTGACTTCACATCAAATTATATGACGTCTTGAAATTGGGGCTCTGTCTCTTTAAGAACCTCTTACTTTTTCTAACACTCCCACTTCAGTAAGTCAACACAAAAACCATGACATCCATTGATATAGTTTACAATTGTTCTTAGGATGTTGCAGATCCTACGATAAGTTCAGCTGGAACTATATGACTTTATATGGTTCCAGCATGTGCTGCTGCCGCTACTCTGCAGGAGCAGACTAGCGGCATATTTCCAGCTTTGTGGAAATATGCGAAATAGGAACCTCCAAATGGTTGCCAGAGGAGAGCCAAGGATTTCTGAAACATTCAAGAAATAATCAAAGCAACACTCCAGGTATGTTTTTGATGAGGGATTAACATTAAAGCATGATGAAAAGCTCATGCTTTTATGTTAAAAGTTGATTTTTCATAATACCACCCCCTTAAACAATTCTGAGGATCAAAACAGATATAAATCATCTTTAGTATGAGACAGACTTTAAAGCAGAAAAGGGCAACCATTTTCACCTCTAAGCTACACTCATCCCCCACTGTATAGGATTCAGTGATCATTATTCCTTTAGTATTCACTGCTCATTCAAGGCTATAGCTTTTGTGACTGAAATATTGAATTTCTCCCAACCAGAAAAAGGCCTTTATGCCACCATGGGGTAAAATTGAGATTTCAGACTGCATGTCAGGTTTATTCACCTGGACATTCTCACACACTGGAAAAAAGAAGAAAGACAGACAGAAGATTGATGATTGGATGAAAGTGTCTTGTTGATGCAGACTGGTTTGAAATGATATAGGCAACTGCAGCGCCATCAGGCAGATGGGATACAGCTGAAGGACCAAAACAAAAGCCACTGCTGTTAGCTGTAACTGTAGAATTAGACGTCCAAGTCAAACAGGCTCATCAAAAATGGACAAAAAGAGACTGCCTGATCCGAAGACTGTTCATCTCAGCTGCTCAGGGTCAGAATTTGGTTCTGGTATCGGGGATGTATTGGTTTCGTAGATATTTCCTATTAGCACACTTTGGGACCATTAGTTTATGTTAGGGGTTCTGTTTTCTCGTCGATTGTCAATTATCGATCTATCTGCCAATTGCAATTTTGGCCTATACCATTTTTTTTGTCTGAAAGTGTAGCAACAAAGTCGCTGTGTTGGCAACAAGCGTAATGACTATTGTTATCTGCAAACGTGCAGACATGACTTGGTGGGCTGGTCTATTACTAAAACCTCTTTAAAGGCAGAGTAGAAGAGGACAGTGGTTGATATTTAGACCATTGCTGAGGTAGATAAGATCATTGACTAAGGTTGGCTTCACATGGATGTTATCGACAGATTACCAATCTCCCAAATTTAAGTAAACCACCGTTGATAAATCGGTGAGCATCAATATACCTTCACAACCTACCTGTGCATCGTTACTGACAATTTACATCCCTTCCATGACAGGTGTTCCCCACCTTTCAGGGAATAATGTCACAAAGCTCAAACAGTTTGACAATGAGTAATGTGGTGGAACGGGAGATTTACATTGTGGGTGTGCAGTAGACAAACCTGCAGCAAATGCATGATGCTACCGTGTCAATATGGATGAAAATCTGAGCAATGTTTCTGACAGTTTCAGGGAGTTCTGAGTATAAAAGCCGGTGTACCGGCTGAGGAGCGAATATAATATAATTTTATATTTCAGAATGCGTTTATTGTTATTGTATCAAAGCACAACAAAATTAATTCAAGTACAGCCGACCCAAAGAAAAGACAGGAATCAGAACAAGAAAGTTCTAGTTATTTTGGCATATTTTTAAAACCAAAAGTTGTTCACTTTTCCAGCCTCATATTAAACAACTTTGGCCCATTTTAAATGTTCATCTAAGTGAATAGGTGGACAAGTGGAGAAACAGTGAGAGATAGCACACATCATAAACAATACATCTTAAACAAAAAACAGAAAAATGTAAAAATCACCCTAGTTACAACAGCTTATTGAAATGATCATATTGATAATTGGATAGTTAAGTTTATTTAACATATTTTTGTAATAAAAAAAATAGCAAAATGATGTAGTATAATTAAACGCATAAAAAATCCTTTCTTCACACTATGATAATGCTATGGACACCTCATAACATTATTATTTTGGCCACATTGCTCTCTGAGCTTCACATCGAGATAAGGAAATGCTCAGGCTTGCACTGTGATCAGAACTCTGTGGTCTGAACGTAATTAAGCCACAGGCGCCTCACTTTTCCGACCAAGTGAGATTGTGCACAGCTGTGAAGCAGAAAAAAAAATCCAAGCCTGCAGAATCAGATCTCAAATGTCATGCAGACTTGACAAATAGATCCACTGAGACCCCAGTAACCTGGAGACTCCAGGGCAGCCGAGGTAAACGGTTAACCTTATTGTTGTGTTTGCTGATGCAGCCCACTTGAACCAACTCTGGCATCTCTGCAAAATACAGCATGAAGATAAATGTTTTGTTCTTCTGGTTGCATTTCCTCCCCTACTCCAACAACAGTAAAGCCTCATCTTGGATGAACACAGCAAAATGCCTCATCATGCATAGTGGAGAGTGACAAACATAAGACGTTCTCTGCTTTGTCAGCCAATGCTACTTGGGATCCCTGAAATGTATGAAATCAGAAAGGATCTGATGGGACGGTTTCTAAAACAAGTTTCACAGTTCCACAGAACCACAAGCACTCCACAGACATTTTCCTCCACAGTCTGCGTCTAAAAAAGGGGGCCACCTTGTGCCACGCAGATGGGAGGTGAAGAGAGGTGGCTCGTTCCATTAAGGAACGTCTGTTTGCTCTAAATCATTGATACAGTCAAGCGGGAGTGGCTTGGTGCAACATCAGAAGTTTATTTTTTAATGAACCATGCTTTCCTGGTTCTCTATGCTCCTACTGGGCCATAAGAGATGAAAAACTAAGTATGTAGTAAGCAGGTCTTTGCAAAGTCAAAGTTCCTACACAACTTTCATAATCCCCCAGCCCCTAGCAAACTATTGCCCTAAAATCTCCAGAGTTCCAGGTCATTATTTTAAAACCTGCTGAAAAAATTTCACGATGAATCTATAGCAGATCTTCCTGCAGGCTTTGAATATGTAACATATTTAAATGAAACAGCAAAGATGACAATAGAGTAGAATGAAAAAGAAAACTAGAAGTCTGCCTCTGCATCTGCAGAAAGAGAAAAAACAAATTGGAAAGGCATCTAAAAGTAAATATAAGGAAAGAAAGAAGATTGGCGTAAGCTTGTCACAATAAGCAAATAATCAATTGGGCAAATTTGTTTACACAGTTTGAACCAACAGTTGGTTTGAACCAATAAATGTTATTTATTGTTTTGGTTGTGAATTTTTATTTTAGATATTTAAAATATGTTTCAGTTCGAGAGTGAACTGAAACTTTAATGTCACTAAATTAAAGTTAATCAGTGATTGAGAGGGCAAACTTGCATTTTAATGCCATTGTCAACACTTTATTACTTGAAAATAGTTGATGGCAATAATTACTGGGGCAATTTATCATTCAGTAAAATTTGTTATTGTGACAGACAGATAGGACACAATCATGGGAGAGCATGATGGACAAAAGGACATAAGTCAAGAAACAAAAAGATGGAAGGAACATTTAGACAATGGGAATAAAGTCTTGAAATTAACTTTTTTTAGACACTTTTTCCCCATACATATCCAAACCA